CCCTGTTCGGGCTGGCAGCAACTGGGCAGCCGTACTAGAACTAGGCACCAAGTAGGGCCAGGCACAAGGTAGGGGCTACAGGACAGGCAGCGGGAGAGGGGAAAGGACTGTGATTCCCAGCAGGCCCTGCCTCTTGCTGGTAAGACAACAGCACTTAGTCCAGATACACAAAGTAACTCCAGGCTGCTGTGGTCCAGCACTTACGATACCCTGTGGTAGCCACAGCCCCTTCAGGGCGAGGGAGTAACCAGGCTTGCAGAGGATGCACCTGTTACGATCAGAAAAGTCAATGTGCATGCTGAAGCAAAGGCCTTCACCCAGGAGTAGGGGCCTCCACTGCTCAGCAGCCTTTTAGGGGTCCCACTTCAGGCTGGGGTCTTACAACTTTTGCCTGAGCCTCTAGCTCTAGCCAGATTCTTTGGGGGGCGGGGGCTGCTGGGAATCTAACGTAGTGCCTCACATATGCTAGGCAGTCACTCTACCACTGAGCAACATCCCAGCTCCTTTTCTTACAATTTTGAGACAGGGTTTTGCTCAGTCGCTTAAATTTGCAATTGTCCTGCCTCAGCCTCCTGGGTGGCTTGGACTAGCCCAGCTCTTCCTTCTCTCCAGCGGGGGATGGAGCACAGGCCTCGGCATGCTAGGCACAGGCTTGCCCTGCATTACACGCCCAGCCCCTGGTCAGCTCATGACCTCACCCGAACCTCCCTCTCCCAAGCTGGGGATGAAGCAGGGGACAGGGGAAGAAAAGCACCTTAACATAGCAACCAACGACAGAACAAAAGGTTACCATCTCATCGTCACTGAGAGCATTCTTCCCTAAGATAATTTACTATAAAAGAATGGCTGTGATTTAATTGAAATTCCTATTATGCAACTATGATGTTCATTAGACTCAAACTCAGGCCGGATGTGGTGGCACACACCAGCAATCCCGACACTCTAAGAGGCCGAGGCAGGATGCTCACAAGTTCAAATCCAGCCTGGGTAATTTAGCAACTTAGCAAGACCAGGTCTCAAAAAAATTAAAAGGCCTGGGGATATAGCTCAGTGCCAAAGGCTCTGGCTTTGATCTCCAGTATCTCAATCAATCAATGAATCAATCAATTAGTGGGGGCACCGAGATGTAGCTCAGTACAAAGGCCCTGAGTTCAGGCCCCAGTACAGGGTGGGAAGGACTCAAGCTGGAGAAGGAAACTGAGATGACTTCTCGCCCCAGGACTTCTGCACCTGTTTTTTCCTGTTTGTAAACTTGGCCCCACGGATACCCACTTGGTTTACCCCTCGCTTTATTCAGGTCTCTGCTCAAAAGGTCCCCTTCTTGGGCCTCCAGTGACTACTTCTGAAATTCACTGTTCCCTCCAAGCAGCACGCGCTCCCACGGTCTGCTCCAGCTCTCCTGGAGGCAGTGAGCACCGCCCGACAGGTCGATGGGCTTTTAACTGTTTTTTTGCTCTAAACTCTGAGCCACCTGGCCTAGAACAGGAACTAACAAAAGATGATTTAAATAAATATTAAATGAAGACAGTGAATTTATAGCGTTTACTAAATCATTGATAACAGCTAAAATATAGAACAGATAAAATATAACAAGCAAAGTTAGAGACAGAAATAAGAATTGTACTAGGATATGGAAGGATGTTTCCTATTTTCAAAAGAATCTTATTTTTTTAGATAGAATTTTTTTAATATAATGATTTATTGCAATCACCATTCCGTGCAGCAGATTATTAATGCTTATTCCTCTTGTTTAGCTGAAATTTTGTACCCTTGGTCTCTGCTTCCCCTTTCCCTGTCCACCCCCCCACTGTGGTAATGACCATTCCATCTACATCTCACTTCCATGGTTTAACTTGTTTAGATCCCACATGTAAATGAGATTGTGCAGGGTCTGTCATTCTGTCCCTGGCTTATTTCTCGGAGTATAACATCCTCCAAGTGCATCTGCCACTGGGCACATGGATTGCATCCTTTCTCTTCATCTGATAACGGACACTTAGCCTGTTTCCACACTGGAGCCAGGCGCATAGTGCTGACTAAGGTTCCTCTGTGTATATACTCAGATGTGCAACTGCTGAATCACATAGGAATCTATTTTTAGTTTTCCAAGTGTATTATTCACTTTCTCGCTGGGACAAAATTCCTGACATTCCCATCTTAAAAAAGGAGTGGTTTATATCTTGGTTCAATTTTCAGAGGGTTCAGTCCATGGCTGGCTGGTTCCAAGTCAGAAATGGCATGGCAGAAGGGTATGGCATGGACAGCTGGTCGCCCCATGGCAGTCAGGAAGCAGAGAGAAGGGAGAATCCAAGGAGGGAGATGAACCCCCCAAAGACCCCCCAGTGATCCACATTTTCCACCTAGCCCCTGCCTCCTCCAGCACATTCAGCTACAGACTCATTCATGGATGAATCCATCAATGACCAAAGCGCCTCCATGATCCGATCACCTTCCATACACTAGAAAGAACATTCTAGACACCAAGGAACCTCCATAACACTGACTGTTTTCCATAATGGCTATATTCATTTACATCCTAAGGTGGACTTTTCTTTTTGCCTGCACATAAGGCATATTTTATTCCACTTTGTATGTTTTTGGGTTTTTTTTGGTACCGGGGATTGAACTCGGGACCTTGCCCTTTTCAAGGCAGGAGGCGGAACCCCTGAGCTAAATCCCCGGCCCTCCACCTTGTGTGCTTTAAACAGAAACACTATAACTGTAGAACAGTGTCACAGTCTGAATTAGCATCCTGTCTCATCTCTTGCTACCATCCAATTTGTACTGAATCCCAACCACAATGCAATAGTAGATAAACTGTTCCTGTTCTAGATTGTCAGGGCTGAACTATTTCCACTGATCAAGAATATGGCTGGGCCGGGGATTTAGCTCAGTGGTTCTGCCACTTGCCTTGCAAGCACAAGGACCCGAGTTTGATCCCCGGTACCAAAAAAAAAAAGAATATGGCCTATGGGCCGGGAATTTAGCTCAGTGGCACTGTGCCTGCCTCAGAACGAAAGGTTCTGAGTTCAATCCCCTGTACCAAAAAAAAAAAAAAGAACTCTAATTCTAGATAGTACAAAGGTAACTAGAGGACCCACTGCACACAACCTAAGAATCCTGTCCAGACAAGCCTGGCCACAAGGGGTTCAGCCAGGGAATCTTGAGAAAAAGTGGCCCCATCTTCAGAGAGCTCACACTAGTGAGGAAGGGAGAGGCCTCTGTCAGATACATTCACAGTGCTTTGTGGGTAAACTTCAAAGGGAGCAGGAGGAGGACCAGCTTTATTCCAAGACAAGACTGCAGACCATCCAAGAGGTCTAAGAAGTCTGAGGCAATCCCCAAACAATCTGAAGATGAGGGGAGAAAGTAAGAAAACAAGCTTGTCCTCCTGGGAATTTTATAAGGACAGATTTTATTTCTTTACTTCTTTATTTTGGGCCTGGAGATGGGATCTAGGGCCTCACTCATCCAGGCACATGCTCTACCACTGACTGAATGCCAGGACCACACAGATTTTACAGGGAAATGAAAGAATACAGTACTTCCTCACCTGCTGGACTGCAAGCCTCCAAGTGAAGAAACTGAGTCTTACCTTCGTACTTCCGTGACTCAGCGTTGTGTGTGACCTGCAGGAAGCTCTAAATCTTAAATGTAAAAGTGACTTTATGAGTGATGACTGCAAAAAAGCAACAGTCATCTGTAAGAAAGGAGTGGACCATAAAAAGTTTCGATGCAAAGGCAATGTCACATACTTCTGAAAGTTGCTGAAATCAAAATGGAGTTACTCATGCCAAGCCCAGACTAAAATGAAGCCTGGAGGCCATAGAAAAGGAGCTCATTGGGCTGGAGGTTTAGCTCAGTGGCGCCAGCACCTTCCTGGCAAGCGCAAGGTCTTGAGTTCGATCCCCAGTTCCACGCAAAAAAAAAAAAAGAAAAGCAAGAAAGAAAAGAAAAGGAGCTTATTTATGCTTACGACAATGATAAAAACCATGACAGGAACTCTGAGAACCACAACCTTGCCAAAGGCCACTGCGGCCTCACACAAAGAATGCTCCTATGAGGACATCTGTCCCACTAGTGCCTGTTCAACCTTGAACTGAAGTCACCCTTGTTACTGATTCTTGGGGCCAGTGACACCTGTTTCAAAACACCTTATATAACCCTCCTGATTTTAAAATGCTGTGTTCTGCTGGGCATGACTATGCAAGCCTCTGATCCCAGCACTCTAGGAGGCTGAGGCAGGAGGATCCCAAATTTGAGCCCTGCTGAGCAACTCAGCAAGACCCTGTTTCAAAATTTTAAAATTTTAAAAGGGGTGCAGGGAGCTCAGTGTGAAGGCTCTAGGCTCAACCCCCAGGTCCTTGCAGAAGAACAGGAGAAGGAGGGCAATTCGGACACATACACACACAGAGGACAGCCACGTGCAGATGAGAGCCAAGAAATGCTGGCACCCACTGGAAGCTAGAGAGACAAGAAGGGTTCTTCCTAGGAGTTTTACGGGGAACACAGCCCCACCAACACCTCCACTTCAGACTTAGAGCCACCAGAACTGTGAGAAAACAGACTTCTGTTGTTTGAAGACAAGAGGTTTGTGGTCTTTGTTATGCACAGCAGCCTTGAGAGCAGACACAGCAGCCAATGGCAGCACAGGAAGCTGGGAGCACAGAGGGGAAAGCAGCTTGCAGGACCCCAACCCCAACAGGACTCAGTCCTCAATTTAACTTCTTTCAACTAAGACAGCTGCAAGTGCCTTTTGGATGAGTGACTGCATACCACAAGTACGTGTCAGAAAGCACCTCTTGAAAGACAGAGACAGAACACACAAAGAAAAGGAAAAAGCAAGCAGCTCTTGTCTACAGCCAGCGCAACCCGAAGGCACCTGATCTCTTTCTTCTTCCTGTTTTGGTGGTGGGGACGGTCGCAGGGCCCAGCATGCCCTGGGCAGGCTCTGCACTGAGCCATCTCCGCTGAGCCTGATCTTTCAGATCCTGTAGGCTAAGCAGGGCATGGGCTGGTTTGCACCTGGATGGGTAAATCCGGCTCAGTCTCTCCTCACTGAGAGGATGGAAACCCACCCACTGGCCACACAGAACACAAGCACAGGCACCGCCTTCCTCCAGGTAGCTGCACCTGACGCACGGCAATTGCACCATTTTGATGTGATCCTTAGCTGCCCACGCCCGTGTGTTCTGGCCATTTCCCCTGGTGATTCATTTCTTCACTCAGCTCATCTCACTAAGATTGAGTTTACCTTGTGCCAGGTATGACGGGAGGTAATGGTGACAGAGCAGTGGCAGAAATGGACGTAAGTCCCTGCCGCAATGCAGGGTGCAGCGGATGGTGTTTCTGAGAATGCAGCACTGAAGTTTTGGGCTAAAAAGCCAAGTGGGCTTCTAAGCTAGGGCATTAGCACTGTAGGCAAAGAAAAGGCAAACGTAAAGGTGCCAAATCAGGAGCAGGCCTGACCGCTCAGGAGTGGAGGGAAGCCACCACGGTCGCCTGGGGGACAGAACCAAGAGGAGCAGAGGCCATACTCGGGGACGATCAAAAACAGCCATGGGTGTGGGGGGCCTCTGGCTCTCCGTCTGAGGGAGGCAGGGAGCCACGGGAGGGCTCTGAGCACAGAACTGACCCAACCTGCCTTGTGGAGGGTTTTGTTTCTGTTTCTTTTTACTTGTTTATTTCATTGTGGAAATTTGTTTTTCCAATCCGCCAAACCATAGCTAATAACATCCACTTGTTTGTGATTATGAATAATGGCGATGATGTGAGAGACACGCTCAGGACTTCAGAGCACAGGGGCACCACCAAGGGCTTGGCGCTCAGAGGAGCGCCTGTCGTTCTGTTGTTTGTGATCACATAATGAGGCGTTGCTGTGGACAACGGTGTACTTGCATGTTAGCAGGGTCCCTGTGGCAGGAGCAGCCTGGAGAGACCAGCAAGGAGGCCACAGCCATTATCCAGGCAAGAGGTGCTGGGCCTGGGGGCTGGGGCCTGGGAATCAGGAGAGAGGCAAGGACTAGAAAGGAAGTAGCTGGGCCGGGGGTTTAGCTCAGTGGCACCAAGCCTGCCTCCAAAGTGTGAGGTCCTGAGTTTGATCCCTGGTACCGAAAAAGAAGAGAAAAGAAAAGAAAGGAAAAGAAGAGAAAAGAAAAGAAAGGAAAAGAAGAGAAAAGAAAAGAAAGGAAAAGAAAAGAAAAGGTGGCACTAATGTGTGGATGGACGGAGAGCTAAGCCCACATGCCAAATCAAACTCCCCACCTGTTCTGCAAGCAGCTTTACATGACATGGCGGTGCTTATTTGTGCACACACACTGTCAATGGCTGCTTCTCTGCTAAGGGGCAGAGATGAACAGCTGCGACCTCATGATGTGCAAGGCCAGAAATACATGCGGACCATTGGCCCTTTACAAAGACAGTTCACCCACCCGCAATCACTATATAGGATGGAGCAAAGAGACGATGTTTTAGGCCTAAGCAACTAAAAAAAAAACAGCCCATCATTTACTGAGATGGCATCGGGGAAGAAGGTGAGATGCAAGAGAACATCCAAATCCAATTGTGGGTGTGCCGCCTGTCAGACACTTATTAGCCACACAAGTAGAGAAGTCAAATAAATAGGTCACTGGAACAGGAGTCTGAGGATGAAGAACAGGCCTGAGGGCCGGGGATTTAGCTCAGTGGTTTCACCGCCTGCTGCGCAAGCGCAAGGACCCGAGTTCAATCCCTGGTACCAAAAAAAAAAAAAGAACAGGCCTGGGCTGGGGACAGAAACTTAGAAATCATCAAATTCGAGGTAGCAATTAAAGCCAGGAAAGCAGATGAAATCAGCAAGGGAACAAAAACAGACAAAGAGAACAAAATGTGAAATACTGAACCTTGGTATCCTACCATTTAGAAGTCAGGAAAATGAAAAGGAGCCACTGAAGAACTGAGAATAGCAGAGATGGGCTAAAACTCTGGGAGCGGGGTGTTGTCCAAAGCAAAAAAAAGTGTTTCAAGGAGAGGGTAGGAGCCACATCCGATGAGGCGACAGGTCCAACAGGACAGTGACTCAGCACAGCACGTGCAGCCTCCCCCACCTGCAGTAGGTCCAGCAGGCAGCACAAGGACAGGAGGAGAAGACAGGAGCAGCGACTGGCTGTGAGGAGGGTGGAGGCTAGCAGGGGGCAGGGGGCAGGGGCCCAACCATGGGAGCAGCAGCTGCACAGATCCAGCTTGTGACAAAAGCCACCTGAGGGCCGGGGATGTAGCTCAGTGGCACTGGCACTGCACCTGCCTCGCAAGCGCAAGGTCCTGAGTTCAATCCCGGGGGTGGGGGGGGACAGCCTGAGATGGAGAATCTGGAGTGACAGGAGAGGACTGCTGGAAGCATGGCTGTAGGCGGCTGAGAGGACAGGGGCTCAGGGCCGGGGCCAGCTGATTGTAACAAGGGCGGAGCATCATGCAGGAAGGCAGGCAGAGACCACGATAGGCTCGTGTAGGGTACCCCTGCCTGAGTCTGTTTTCTCAATGACACAGGGGGACTGAGAGTGCATGGGGAATGAGATGCCACTGTTGGAGGATGTGGCAGAAAACCAACTAGCAGAGTTAAGAAAGGCACAGGAATTCAGTGTGACCATTTACCAGCATGAAGGGCCCACACAAGCTGTTGGTCGTGAACTTGAAACAAGATAGCCTGGTTCTGAGTTCTCCTCTAGCTTTGTGACAGTGCATGAGACAGAGGCCAAGTGGCGAGTGGGATTTAACTGGAATCATAGTTTAACCAGTAAGACAAATGCAGAAAGGGCTCTCTGGACAAATTCTGAACCTGCAGGTGCAGGCATGGCCTGATCTTGGCGAGAAACATCACAGGTGTTAGTACTCGTTCCAAGGAGAAAGGAAAATCACCACGTGAGCCCTAAACTCTTTGGTTCCGTGAAAGGACCATCTCAGCACCTCAAAGATGTACAAAAGAACCATTTCAAAGGCTCACTACTGACCGATGCTTAGGGCTGAACTTCCCTCTTTTATAGTTAACAGAACTCTAGTTAAGCTTTTCTCCTAATGAGCTAAGGAACAGAAATTTCAAATGCTTTGTTTGCTTGTTTTTCTAAGACAGGGTCTCACTATGCAGTCCAGCCTGGCCTCAAACTACTGCAGATCCTCCTGCCTCAGCCTCCCAAGTGCTGGGATTACAGATGTGTGCAACCACACCCAGCTTCTAACTCCAAATACTCCTCACAGACAACCCTAGATCAAGAAGACAGATTACTGTGAAAGCTGACTACAGCACAGCAAATAAAATAACCATGGAATGAACAGTCACATATAGATTTGATGACCCATGCAGGTCTTTTAACATCTACTTTTTCATAACTTAATCATAAAATAGTAATTATAATAAGTATTATAATGTTATTAGGATGTTTGATAAAAAAGTTCACATACAGAAGTTTTTCAAATATATACTATGAGTCAATATTATTTCTCGACAATTAAGAGTCCTAGACATCAACCAGGAGCTCATTTATTCTAAGGAAACACACCTTTACTAAAATTAAGTAGAGAATTATAAACTATCACATCAGATGAACTCAGAGCCTCACACATGCTGGGTAAGGACCCTGCCCCTGAGGTCCATGTCCGGCCCCAAGTGGATTTCTACCCCGAAAATTTCTCCAACCCATTCTCTGCCAATGTAGCATGAAGAGAAAGAAATCCATGGTTGGAGGGCTGTCATCTGACCACCACTTTAACCTCGCATTTTCAGGTTATTTTATTTGAAGGCCTGGAGCTGTGGCTCAGGGGCAGAGCCTGTGCTTAGTGTGGACAAGGCCCTGGTTTCAGGGTCTAGCACCATTTAAAAAAGGGGAGGGGTGGAGTACTACTCAGCCATAAAGAACAAGAATCTAGAGACACTTATAGCTAAATGGATGCACATTGAGGCCATACTCTTAGGTGAAAGAAATAGGACACACATGTGTAAATACCGAATAGTTTCTCTGGTGTGAGAAAATACAAGTGTAAATAAGGATCAAAATGTATAACTGAGAATGTGAAATAGGAAGAAAAGGTCCAAAGGGGTAGGTGAAGTGGGAAGAGTAGGGAAAAGGAAAGAAGGAAAAGGAAAAAATATGAGAAAAGGAAATAAATGGAAACAAAGTCTTTGTAAATAGGGAGGGGTGGAGGGGGTGAAGGGAGGCCAGGGGAAGGGGAAAAAATAAGAACCAAGATACATCATGTACAGGTACAAGATCCCAACAAGGACTATAACTATTGTACACCTAAAATGGACCAATAAACTTAATGGGAAAAAAAAGGGTGAGGGGAGAAAGAAAGAAAGAAAGAAACATGTTAGCTGAGTTTATAAAGCCAGAAGAACCAAGTTCACTCTTAGTCATCTTGCCCTCAGAAGCAGCAACTAAGAGCTTGTTTTAGAAAAAGATAAAAGGTAGAGAAAAGAAAAACAGGGCCGGGGATTTAGCTCAGTGGTTCTGGTGCCTGCCTCACAAGCTCAAGGTCCAAAGTTCGATTCCCCGTACCAAAAAAAAAAAAAAGAAAGAAAAACAATTGGTTTTAATAGATCTTGATCAAAATGAATAGACAATAACAAAACACACCTGCACAGTGGGAGGAGCTGCGAACGGGATGGGGGGCTGGCTTACCTGCGGCGCCTATTGGGGAGGTAGCTGGGGTCATGTTGTGGACGTTGAGGCCGAGACTGTGGGAAGGGCCCGGGGCTGATGCTGCAATCGGGGCCCCCGGAGGGTTCTCCCTCTGGGGTGAGGTGAGCGGGGTGGTGGGCTGGGAGGTCTGTCCACCCGCAAGTCGTGCCAGGCGCCTCCGGCGAATCTACAACGGGAGAGGAGAACGGCATCCTGTAACCAAGAGCGGGCCGGCCATGGGCCAAGGTGACCACGACGTGCACTGGGTTGCCAACCACCAACAACCACACCAGCTCAAAAGCCAATGTGCCCTGAAAAGAAAGTACTCATTTTCGAGAAAAACTGAGCCAAGCAGTATTCTCACAAGACACCAGCTCACTATTTAAAACCCGCCCCGAATCACCTTACCATCGTGGTTTACTGTCGCTCTTTGATGGGTTTTATCAATTTCCAATAAGCATACTACCCTTCTAAACACACCGAAGTCTGTGGTTATTTTAATAAAATGATATCACTTGGTCATTTGAAATAAGATTTAAAATAGTCAATTCAGTGAGAGAAAGAAACTCAAGTTACAATAAGACACAAATTTTACCAGAATTATCAGGAGCAAAATGACCAGGTTGTTTTTACTTGATTGGAACCAAAGTACAGTCTGACACTTCTTCTGCAGAACACCCAGTTTCCAAGCGATTATGATCACGTGTCACAAAATCCTAGTGGGTCACCAATGTTTTCCTCACACTTTCCTAGCAGTTACTTCATAACCAGTCAGTAAACTCGCTGACACCTGCTGTTCAGGTGGCGAGGACAGAGCAGGCCTCAGAGAAACAACCTGCCCACGCTGCCCGGCTCTTTCTGCTAGGAGTAAGGAGGATGGAAACCAACCAGGAACGGCCCCATCTGACCGAGGCCTCTCTGTCCTGCTCAGATGGCAGACAGTCTGCTCCTTCTGTCAACCTCAGCACCCCCGGGCCTCTGCTGCCGATGCAGCCCCCAGTGAGCTTCCATAGCCCCTGAAGATATCTGCTGGCTCAGCTGTCTACTTGGGACCATTAAACCTTGCAAACAGTTGTCTCATTTTATTATTGAACACTTCTGCGGCATTTGCCATCTTCCGGCTGTTTTAAGCACTTTATTCAGCCTCATAAAAATCCACTGACACAGGTGCTTGCGTTCTGTTCACTTCTAGGAGCACACTGAGGCCTGAGAGGTCAGACACGCTGCTCACTGGTCATCTCCTCCCACACTGACAGCCTGGGGATCCCTGGGAGGTCTCCATCCCAGAAAATCTGAGGCCAAAACTCCTTTTGTAAAAACATCAAGACAGCTGCTTTTTTCTCCTCTCATTCTCCAACAGGTGTCCACTGGAGTTTTCCAGATGTGAATGTGCAACAGATTCAAAACAGAAGCTAATATGAAAATCCAGCTGTCTCCTAACGACTTACAAAAGCAAAAACAGTGTCACAGCTCTCACTAAATTTATTGCAAGAAATGCATTACTTTCCTTTAAAAAATACAAATCAAGCCAGGCATGGGTGGTGCATGACTGTGATTCCAGCACTCTGGGAGGCTGAGGCAGGAGGATTCGAAATTCAAGCCCAGCCTGGGCAATTTAGTGACATGGCGAATCCTGTCTCAATAAATAAATAAGCAAGCAAGCCAGGTGTGGTGGCACACATCTGTAGTCCCAGCACTTGGGAGGCTGAGGCAGGAGGATCACTGCAAGTTTAAGGCCTGCCTGAACTACATAGTGAGACCCTGTTTCAAAAAACACAAACAAAGGCCAGGGATTTAGCTCAGTGATTCCGGCACCTGCCTCGCAAACACAAGGTCCCGAGTTCGATCCCCGGTACCAATAAAAAGGGGGGTTAGTCCTAATAGAAGCCTCAGCTCGAAAACCACAAACTGCTTGGGTTGTTTTGTTTTTGTGTATTTGTTGGCCAGAGGTGCTCACAATCTATTTGTTTCTTTTCTCTCCCACCAAAGAAAAAATAATTTTTGTAACACCTAAAATATCTCTGAAATCAACTGATGACCTCATTATCGCCATCCCAGTATTACAGACAGCTAAGGTGCATAGAAATAAATATTCTAGGCAGTCAGACAGGGCTGAGCCCTCAGGGAGTCAGTACAGAGGATGAGAATACATCACATCTGTGGCGGAATGACCAGGCCGACATGCCTCCCCAAGGGAAAGGCAATATACAACAACTGGTATCACCTGGTCCAATAACGTCTAGCTAGACACTGTCACCCAGGTGGGTGACCAGGACCTCCTGATCTATCCCTTCCTAAAAAGGTCTTCATTCTTTCCATGTACACTGGCTAGTGATCTGCTTCCCCTATGGATCAGCATTACCTAAGCCGCTATACTTGTAATTTTTTTGATTAATCAGGGTTTTTTTTATTCACGTTGTACCCACCTTGTGATTTTGCTCTATAAAACTTCCTCTGTAAGTGGGGTCCGAGGGAACTCACTTTAGGGCTCCCTCCTGTCTCTCAGGAGCTCTCTCTCTAATAAATTTTTACGACTCTTGACCTCTGTTGTTCCTTAAAATTCATTATTTGAGGGCCAAGGATTTAGCTCAGTGGTTCCGCCGCCTGCCTCCCAAGTGCAAGATCCCAAGTTCAATCCCAGGTACCACAAAAAAATTCATTATTTGAATTTAGCTCAGTGGTTCTGCTCCCTGCCCCACAAGTGCAAGGACCCTAGTTCAATCCCCGGTACAAAAAAAAAATTCATTATTTGATTTTTGGGAACACAACCCTGGTATATCTGATGTCTAGCAGGTTGAGGGTTATATTTATTTCCTCTATATCATCAGGGGAAGACACACAAAGCCTGGTGCAAACTTGCCATACAGGGCATCTGGTGCTGGGATGAGAACCCTGGAGAATGGCAAGAACATAAACCATTCCTGTGGACCCCAAACCATCATGGGATGGGGTTGGAAGTGGTCGGTCGGTTGTGGTCCACCAGTTATGGTCGGCGACAGCCCCAAACCAGCCAGCGGAAGAGACGCCCACCAACAGCCAGGTTCTTAATGTTGTCCCCTAATAGAGCCATGTCCCCCACACTCGACAGCACAGGAGGACGTCCAGGGAAACTTAACAAACTCTAGCAACGTCCTAAGCAATTTACTGTCCTCATATTTTCCTTATTCATTTATGCAAATATCAGTAATCCGCAATTTCAAAAATCTAAGCACTGAGTAAGATTCTAAAAGCACATTACCACAACCGTTTCCCCGACAGCCTACACAGCAATCACAGTAATTCCTTAACAACAAATCACTGTCGCACACTTGCTGAGAGCCCTGTGGCTTCCCAGGACCTCAGAATAAAAACCAAGTCTTCCCGGGGCCTGCAGGACCCCCGGCTTTGGCCACACAAACCCTGCCATCCCTATAACAGCATAAACTCCGACAGACTGCGGCCACTGCCCTCCCTTCGAATGCTTGGCAAAGCCAGCTCTTTCTCTGCTGTCCCAGCTTCAATGCCACCTCTGGGAGGTGACCAGACCTGGCACAGCCACCACAGACACTTCATATCGCAGCCCAATTGACACCTTTCAGCAGTGTCTATGGCCCGTAAATATCTAACTTGTTTCTTTTGTTTTGAGGCAGGGAGGTTTAGGAGTTGCACCCAGGGCCTCACATACGCTAAGCACTTGCTCAGCTGCTGAGCTGTCCTGCCCCCTCGAGTCCATTGCTTAGCATCTGTTTCCCCCGTAGCGTGGAGGCTGCCACAGAAAAGCACATCTACCCCACTCGCCACCCATCCCCGACACTGAGGACAGTGCCCTGTACACAATGGGCCACTCCTATTAATCAGGGGAAATGAACAGATGCAGTAAAGTATGCAGGAAGTCACACACTGGGACATTTAACTGGATATTCAAACACCAGACAGCATTTCCTGTTCCTGACACCGACTCCTCAGACATTTATTCACTTGACATGGCCGAGAGCCAAATCAACGAGACATCTCCTGCCCTCTCGGAGCTTGCCTTCCAGGGGCGGCCAGGAGGATGGGGGCCAGGGGCACACAGATGAGAAAGGAGAGTGAAAGACGGGGGCTGCTCTGCTACCGGGGTGGGGGGGGGGCGGCTTTCCACTGCAGGCCTCTCAGGCAGGAGGGAAGAGGGCACTTGGGCCTCAAGGGGTGCAGGGAGTATGGGGGGCAGAGGGCAGGTTCAAAGGGTCGGGCTGGAGCAGGGTGGGCTGGGGGACACGGGGATGACGAGAGCAGAGATCAGACTGCAAGCTTGTGAGGCCACGGGAGAGCCCAGGCCCTGGGAAGCCCCTCTGGTTTCTGCTCAGGAGGACGATATTCACCTGGCACCGACGGGAGCGGAGGACGGGAGGCGACAGCTTCGAGGACTGAGGTCAGCAGCGAGCTCAGGGACCCTGCAACAGCATGGCCCAGCTCCCAGGCAGAGCACAGGGAGGTGAGGAGCACACACAAGTCCTGGGCCTCAATAGCTATGCCTAAGAAGGGGAGAAGGAGCCAAACTCCAGTCAGACTTTCACTCTTCTAACATGCAAATGAGCTGGTGTGCTGGCATGCACTTGTAATCCCAGCACTCAGGAGGCTGAGGCAGGAGAAACACCACTTTGAGGCCAGCCTAGGCTACACAGTGAGTTCAAGGCCAGCTTGGATTGCATAGTGAGACCCTGTCTAAAAAACAAACGAAAAACAGAAATGCGTGCTTTAATCTTTAAAATGTGTTTGTGCATATATCCCAACATGACAAGAAGCCTAAAAAGAGACACTTTAAATTCTCACAGGAGCCAGATACAGTTGGCACATGCCTGTAATCACAGCACTCAGGAAGCTGAGGCAGGAGGATCGCTGCAAGATCAAGACCAGCCTGAACTAGAGTGAGATCTTGTCTCAAAACACAAAACAAAGAACTTTGGAATATGCTTTAAGTTGTGCATTTCACCACCTTATAGGCAGCTAAACTCAGGAGGTCACAGTCAATTGCAAATCCACCTTTATTACTTAGTACCTGTGTAGATTCAAAGTAAATCACTTCCACTCTGGGTGCAACCAGTGAGAAGGAGAAAATCAGAGTGGTGAGGACCCCACCACTCCATTCCCTTCCCTACATTACTTGCTCCCTGGCTCTTATCTACACTTCCACATATGCTTATGTACTGGTTCCTCATCATCCACCTA